AGGGGTGTGTAGCTTCACGTGGGATTTGACGATTTTCTGGCATTTTGTCATGTTCAAGGCATTCTTCACGTCAAAAACAACCATAACGCAAAGCTTATTACTGCCGCTATCCGCTATTTTAGCCAGCTGTGCCACTGCACCAAGGGCATCCATGGCAGACTTTCCCTTTATGAAACCATATTGCGAGGGCGACAGCCTCTTCTTTTTCTCGACGTATTTTCTCAGCCTACCTTCTATCAGTCGTTCTAATAGCTTTCCAAGTGAACTGAGCATACTGAGAGATCTATATTTGACTTCTCTATCGGTGGGTTTTGGAGGTTTTGGGATTAGTATCAAACCAGCTTCCTTCCACCTCTTAGGAAAGACTCCCGTTCGCAAGCATCTATTTATCACGGACAACACGATTTCGGGTATCTCTTTAGCTAGCGCTTTCACGATCTCATTTGGTATTTCATCTAGCTCTGGTGCCTTACCTGTTTTCAAATGCGTTGTAGCTTCTTCCAGCTCACTCAAGGTGAATTCTGTTACGTCCGGAGTATCCTCAAATTTCCATTCGGTGAGTGAGCACTTCGGAAACAATCCCTTTGCAATTTTTATTTGTTGTTCAGTATCCAGATTTTCCATAGCTATTCTGTATGCTTGACCTCAAACGTCGTTTTCTAAGTCATTTAAGTATTTCCCTATCATCTGCTTTGAGTTCATTATGAGCTTTTCTAATTCCTGCTTGGCATATTGATGCTGTTTTTATACTCAAGCATCAGAACTTGTAAGACATTATTTGCAACAAACTTGCCGGAATACCCGAAGCTTATGGAAAACGCCACTAGGGAACACTTACGAGGAACACAATGTGGCCGATACTCTAACCTCATCTTCCATTAGTGTACCATATTTTTGAGATAACGTCAGTTTAATTACAGTTAAAATAAAAAGAATTTGAGCCATAGAATTAGTGCCACCGTGTTTTGAGCCAGCTTGTATACTTACGGTTCTATCCATAAATATTTACAGACCTTTCAATTTCCCGTAGTACCGTCACAGTAATCCACTACATGCAATATTCCAAGCTGTCCCACTGTCATGAAATATTAGGGAATCGTCGCCATTTCTGTATTTCGCCCATGCCACCTTCGATTTTGATTTTACATTGTAAAGCACGCTTTCACTGGCAGTTTGGCCACTTTATATTCAACGACATCCTCCAGCATTCAAATAGTTTTTCTACTTTTCTCCACTATACGTACCTACATTTAAATTTCTTCGGCATTGAGGAAATATTTACACTTCCAGTTCTCAGCGTCCTCTAAATTGTTACTCTACTCGTAACGAGCTGATGTTTTTATTATTGTAGCGGGATGTTTCGTTTGGTTGGAAGAGACGCAATTGCATAAAGAACCACGCAATTTCCTTATGGAAATCGGACTTCCGTTAAATTGGTTGAATGACTGTTATGTTGCAGATCTAACCGCCCCCAACAATTGTATTAACACGTGCGCGGCCACTTTATTTTGCCAGTAGTGCGGGTTGTGACACTGACGTCATAAGCCGCAAGCCACTAGTGTGTCTACCGGGTCAGTGACGGCTTTTGTTAAGTACATATAGTGTTCTAGCTTCATTGTGCGGTATATCACGTCTATTTTGCGTGTATTAGGAGGTAAGGTGTCCCACTGGACACCTACTGTCAAATAATAAATGCAGCAGATTTTCTTTAAGGAGGGGATAGCAGTGGATGCATTGGTATGAAGAGTGTGAGTGCGAAGATGAAAGTAGACATGATCCATATAGTACAGGATGACTTCATTGCTGATCCAAAATATATGCAACAGGGCTCAGACTCTTGTACTGATTCAGAATACGAGAATAGACGTCATATCACGCAGATTTTTTTTCACCATAACTTAATGTGTGAAAAGTTAAGATAATATGCAACTTCCTACAGGGCGTCCAACATAAGGATCCTATGCATGGGGATCTCAATACGTGTGGGAAATACAGCTTAGGTTAAATTAGGAAAAAGCTGCCTTCTCTGGGGCGTATTTGCATGCCGTTGAGAAACTTGTAAATACTTCATGGCTTACTGAGGCATTTGGGAAGGACTAAAAGGACCCGGCAACACGCCTTCGGAAAAAGTGGTTTCGGTTAATTTCGCTGAATTTTTTATATGTTATGCGCCTTGGCATCCTAGACAAATGTTTCAATGGACACGGAGCTCCAATCTCAACGCATTCCAAGACGGTATAATGGGCTACCGGCGCTACTCGAATATATGCTTCAAGTGGAAAAGTGGTTTCGCTATACTTTTTATACGTTATGTCTCGGCGTGCCTCAATTGGCACAGGCCCCAAAACCCAACGGGTCACAAGATAGAAGCCGTCCAAGTCAGTATAATGGGGTATCGGCTTTACTCGAATATCTGCTTCGAGTGGAAAAGCGATTTCAGTTTATTTCCGTAAACTTTCTACGAGTGATTTCGGTTAATTTCGCTGAAGTTTCGAAATGTGTCTCGGCACCCTGAACAAATGCCTTAATGAGCACATGCCCCGGAACCCAAAGGATCCCAAGATATACTCGTAGGTAGAATTTACTCAGCTATCTAGAAGAGTTTCGGTTAATATGGAATCATATCATTTTTCACTGAAGTTTCACGTTAAATCCATTAACAAGTTTCTCGAGAGAGCATGTGTTACGACCTTTTTTTTTGTTGAAAGTTAATTGAATAGATTTTACGAATTAGAAGGTTCTCTACTACTTACTCGTTTGCTAGTTCGTAAGATACGATATAGATAGATAAGAATACGAGTATATGGATCTCATACCCTTGCTAAAATTTATTGTGTATAGGGGTATATACATTGTACATATCATTTTAATTCCTGTTTTCACCTGTTGATCCGCTCCCTTCTGGTGGACTTGCCCTAACGAGTCTGAAACAAAATTTAATAAGTAGCAGATACTTAACTCACACTATTGAAGTCAAATTACTTGTGCCCTTTTATAAATCAGTGCCCCTGAAGCCACCCTAGTCATTGTTTACAATTTTATAACCTTAATAGCAATGAACTTTGCGGACAGGTGTCAAGTCGGCTGTCACTGTCAAAGGTGAGAATGATAGCGCGTAACAATAAAAAAAAAGGATCGCGATTGCGATTTTTCGGTATCTGTTACACAAGGGCGGATATGGTAGCGGAAAATAGCTGAAAAAGAGAAATCTTCACAATTCCAATTGCTATAGGCGCACCACTAGTATTGTGGGATTATTAAGATTGGGAGATTTCCCTCTACATTAAAGGCCACCCTACACCGTAGGCCTTTTTCGTTTTCTTTATTCTCTGTTTCTTCTTCACTTCAACGTCTTTTGCTTCCTGCTGCATGCCTACATTTTACCATATGAGGGCTGGTTGACACCACCAGGTGATCTCCAAGAGGTGATTCCAGAGATTGCAGGTCAGAGTAGGCTGTAAGGTGTATGTAAGACTTCAGGTTTCTGGGACAGCTGAAATATAGAATGTAAGTGTTACGACTTCGTATAGACCTACGAAGTAACACATAAGGAATCCGACCCCTCTTTTCGTGAGATCCTTGTACATAGCACACGGCGTTGTCTTTTCAGGTAACATATATATAACACAATTCGACAGGTTGATAATTTGTCACCGTGGAACCACGAACTGCCTGATACGGCGATTGTAGAGTAGTTGTAGTAGTACTTTTTTACAGTACATCCTAGGCATTCCTAAACTGCTGATAAACGATCACCCCGTCGTCACGACCACCCAGACCCGTAGCAATTGGCGCCAAGCGTATCACTGGTGGCCAAAAGTAACACTGGCGCCCAATCGTGGTTAGGAAGTGGCCTTGGTAGTAAGAAGCGTGGTTGGAAGTAGTCTATGAAGAACCGTAGTTCCGTAACCGAATGGTTCAGTAGCAAATCAAATAAAAATACCATAATATTCATAAACTGTTGATACAGGAAATTTAGATATCACATTAGAGGTTCTTGTATAGTCACGTGAAGTAATGACTTATCTTTTTTTTAGTTGATGTGATTGTATATGCATCACATAGATTATTAGACAATCGAAAGTAATATTAGTTCAAACATTCTACCAAACGGGTATTTTGAATTAGGGTGAAAAGAGATTTTCGATTTTAAGCAGAGGGTTGCTGCTTGCAATTTTCGAGTAGTGGTTAATACCTTTTGTGTGGTGAACTGATTGAACATATTGCTTGGTATTGGTTTTTTTTAGGTATCGGGTGTTTTTTCCCTTGATTTTTCTCCTTTTCTGGTAGGGGAGGGGTTTGTTTGTAATCATGGAGGTTAACAGATTATTCAGAGATGAATTGTCGAATGAGCTAGAAGCGAGGCAATTGCCCATTGGCAACACAGTGGCTGAGAAGAGAATGCTTTTGAAAGAAGCTTTGCGCTTTGAGAGGCTGAAGCTAAGGCAGGCGCCTGATAAAAGTTCAGCTCCTCCAGAACATGAGCTGAAGATCTGTGACGAGAAGCTGTTGGAGCTTCGTATGGACGTTGCTAGCTTCGACCCGGACAATATAGAGAATGAATTCAGGCGAATCTTCTCTCTCTTATTGGGGAGTTGAACCTCGCATAAGAGCAAGCCAAGGAGTCCGAGGAAGATTTGGGACATTCTAAGGAAGCATCCGTGATTGATGCTCCTGATATGTTGTTACCAGAGGTATTCGAGAAGAACTCGCCACATGGTCAGGACGTATTATTTGATTTGGTAGATGATCCACGACCCACAGAGGCACCCGTGGAACAATTTCGTAATATTTCCCTCTCCGGAGTCGATAACCGAAGATCAGCTGAAGGTCATCTTTCGGAGATCCGCTCCTTTAGCTTCTGGTTGTGATAGAGCCGATATGTCACTGGGGAGATACGATAGTTATCTCTACCCTAGATATCCTGAACCTGATCCACTGCGATCTGTGAGAAATTTTATGCGATTACAGCATCAGAACCCTTGCACAGACGTGACCCAATGGAGGAGTTTCAATCTCGGGGTCCAACTGAGGTCAGTTGCTCCCATTATGTAGATGTTGGCCGCTGGAGAGTCCATTTCGATGGTCGCTCCGGGGTGAATGAGTTTTTACAAAGAGTAGAAGAGGTAAGAATTTATCGTCGTGTGTCCAAGGAGCTACTTCTCAGATCAGCTCCTGAACTGTTCATTCAGGATGCGCTATTATAGTTCCGTACCCAACAATTCTCGTCCTGGGGTGAGTCAACTCACAAACTCAGGAACGACTTTCAACCATATGATTACGAAGACCTCTTATGGGAGGAAATTCGTAATCGGACCTAAGGCGCTCAAGAGCGTGTAGTGAGCTACGTTGCGGTCATGGAAGATATATTTAGACGACTTCCATCTCTACCTCTTGAATCGAAGAGAATTAATATAATACGTCGGAATTTCTTGCCATCAATTCAGCGAGACCTGGCTTTGCAGATGATCCACTCGATTTCTGACTTGATACATCTGGCTCGTGCAAGTCAGGAAACTTCATTACGAGTTCAAAACTTCCATCCCCCACCTACAAATCACCGAAACCTCCTTGAGCTCGAGTTGGCATATCATAGGCCCGGTAATTCATCGCAACATGTGCCGCGAATGCAAACGGCAGCTGTGGTTGCTGATCCATCAAAGGGGTCGGAACAGATCGTAAGTGCGATCGCCGATGCTCCTGTGTCCTTATCTGTCCAACTTCCAAATTCTGTCAGTTCCAGACCTCCACCCTTATGTTGGAATTGTCACCAAGCCACCCATAAGTTTCGTCAATGCCCTGAATCAGGACGAGTCTTTTGTTTCAAATGTGCGAGATCCGGTGTGAGCTCCCGCACATGTCCTGATTGCACAAAAAAAAAGTCGAGGGGTCAGAGATAGGTCGTAGCGATCCCCCCAGTGCGGAAACCTCAACGGCCATACTCGATTATGTATTAGCCCATGCAAAAGACGATACTCGTCCTTATTTAGCGGTGACTATTTACGGATTTCGACTGTCCGGTTTACTTGATTCTGGGGCCAGTGCCACAATCCTTTGTGGACCAGGCTGGAAGATCTTGAGCACAATCTGTTCGCTCAGTAAATGCGAAACCAGAACATGTACAGCAGCCAACGGACAAAGTTGTGAGGTTCGCAGATGCGTGACTTTACCTGTTGCCAGGGAAAGGTCAAAACCCTAGATGTGCTAGTGGTACCGTAATTACCTCATACCTTGATCCTAGGTACCGATTTCTGGAAAGCGATGCAGATCGTACACGATCTTTTTTCTGGAGAATGGTCATTCCGTGAATCAAAGTGCTCTGAAGTAAAAGTAATGGGCATCAATGAAATGGGTTCCCTCAATATTGACCAACGACAACAATTAGATAAATTGTTGTCGGAGGGTTTTGCCGCTATGGGCACGAGATTAGGTTGTACCTATTTGGTGGAACACCACATCCAGACTACATCTTCTCCTATTAAGCAATTACATTACCCCGTTAGCCCCGCCGTTTTCAAGCACGTGTATGGTGAATTGGAAAAAATGCTCGAAGATGCAGTAGTTGAGCCCTCTAAGTCCCCATACTTCTCATTGAGAAGAGCGATGGTTCTTACCGCTTTGTTGTTGACTTTCTTCAACTAAATAGCGTTACCGAAAAGGATTCCTACTTGACAACTCTGGACATCAAGTCAGCGTACTTCCAAATACCCCTGTCCGAATTATCAAAACCATTGACCGCTTTCGTCATTCCAGCTCGTGGTTTGTTTTAGTTCCGGTGTATGCCTATGGGACTCCGTAATGCCCCAGCCACGTGGCAGAGATTTATCGATAGAGTTATCGGTGTGGATTTGGAGCAAAATGTGCTGGTGTACTTAGATGATATAGTTATTTGCACCAACACCTTCGAGAGGCACCTCGGCGGCCAAAAGTAACACATGATCTACATTTAATAGATTCTACTTAATATTTAAGAGATTCTTCTTAATATTGGGTAGCTTATTAACTAAATATCGAGTACATCTACAAGTAGTGGATAAAACTGTTGCCGTAGCACAAGACAATGACGTGAATGAAACTGAATGGACGTGAATGTGGTACAAGCGTTGATTGACAAGAGTTAATTATTTTCTATTCGTCATTGTCTGTCAGAGCGGTCCGTAGGACCTTTGCTCTTGGTTGACGTCTTGTAAGTCAGTAGGTTTGTCAGGTCTATTTGCCCAGATACCAAACAAAGTCAGGGAGAAAGAAGGGAAGAAGAAAGGAAGGAAAGAGGGAGAGCAAAGAAAAAAGAAATGCGTCAATTTGAGGGGTGCCTTGGCATTGCTAATTAGTATTCGGCAATTTTAAATTGATCCTAAAATTAATTTTGGGATTGGTCGTTGAAGAGATTTTCTATACTTACGTCGATTGTCCCTCATCCCATAGGAGCTTGAACTAGCTCCTTCGTATGTTCAGGACAAGCTGGAACATGATAGTACTGATATCTTTGAACTCGATCTAATCAGAGACATCGCAAGCCTCTTGAGAATTGGAAGTTACTCTAGATTCAGGAACGCGACCCGCTATCAATTATGTATGTCTTCAAGTAGAACATGGACGCGATATGATGGAAAATGAAGATGAAGTAGAAGATATATTAGGATATCATTGTCCTTATAAGTCAGGGGCAAGAACTTCGGTCTGCTGTGCACACATCACTACAGCCCAGAAAGTACCCCAAATATAATGCTTCTGCGATACATTCAAGAAGCCGGTAATACTCGTAGGAATATCAATGGCAGTTGTGCTCAAATAGGAGAATTGATAGTTGGTTTGACACCTTTGTCCTAGACGCCGAGAAACATAACAAAAATTCAGCGAAATTTACTGAAAATACTCTTCCATTCCACTAAAAGCAGATATTTGAGTAGCGCTGATACCTCATTATAATGACTTGGACATTGAGGAATTTATTCGAGACTTCAAAACACATAACATTTGAAAAAATAGTAAAATTGACCGAAATCACTCTTCCACTTAAACCAGATTTTCGAATAGAACCGTAACGCCATTATACTGACTTGGAAAACCTATATCTTGGTACCTATCAAGTTAAGAGGCCTGTGCCCATTAAAGCATTTGCGAAACTAACTGAAATCACTTGTTCACTTAAGCAAATATTCGAGTCTCATTATACTGACTTAGACGACCTATATCTTGGGACCCATTGAAATATTTGTTCGGGGTGACAAGACGCATAACATATATAAAATCCGCAAAATTAACCGAAACCACGTTTCCCATAGGCGTGTTGCCGCGTCCTTTTGGAAAACTACTAAAAGTTCTCTTCATACCTACATATTCACCAGGCCCCACGCAGAGGGTCCTGTATATCGGACAGTGTTTCAAGAAATATTTGCAGTTCATAGACATTTAAGTTCGCACATGAAGTAATGAATTGCATTTCAATACATTGGGTGAATGTTGCATTCCGTTGCTATAATAACAAAGGTCCACAAAAATAGAAGTGTGTGCATTATATTCTTCCCATGTATTTTTCCTCGCTGAACACGAAGGCAGAATTTTGGGACGATTGAGAAATATGAAAGTAACTTCGACGTACACATGGACATGATTTTTTATTTAGGTGTAGGTGCAGCGGTGATACACAATGTACATTCACCGTTTATGCAGTCGCGGGTGCATTGTACATCATGTAAACTACATTATATACTCATATGCAATTGCCATTGTATACGTATTGATGTACGTGTAGACAAGGGACAAGGTAAACAATGTAGACAATAGCAAATAATAGTTCAATCAGGTCGCATGCATATACAAATATGTAAAGCAGGTGAAAGTGTTTTTGAATAACTAGCCCAGACAAAATACAATAAAAAATATTGTAAGTTTGCAAAAATTACGACACAAGTTAAATTCATCATTATGAATAATACAGGGTGGGTCAGAAAGACAGGTAGTGGGGTGTTTTACTGGTGAGTTGCGTGCGTTTTGTGTTAAGGCTTATTACAAGAATGAAGATTCGTGCACATTTTGGCGGCATATGTTTCACTCTGAGTTTAGTTTACATGATCTAAATTAATGTCCTAGTGGAAGTGTGATCAGGCCGTGGTTCAGAAAGTTCGAGGCTACTGGTTCGACACCGAATCAGAAACCTGCGGGTCGTCCAAGGTCAATACGAACAGAGGAAACTAAGCGAAATTGCGAGGTCCGTACGGCGCAATCCACAGCTGTCATTCCAAAAGAGATTAGCTGAGCCTGTCATATCAAGAGCATCTGTAAGGCGTTTTTTGGTAAAAGACCTTAAGTGGCATCGATATAAACTTCAAATGGTGCACGATTGTAACCGCTGGTCCACCACCATCTATGCCGTGCATTTGCCGGAACAATGCTGGAGCGCTTTTCAAGTCTGAACAATATTCTGATAAAGCTCATTTTCAATTGAGTGAATTTGTCATGTGTTAAGCAAAATTACCGGAACTGAATCAAAAAAAATTCCAGATTAAAATACCACCGACATTTGCATTTGCGTTATGTTATAGTTTGGGCGGCCATGTCGGCTGAAGGAATCATCGGACCCTATTTCTTCGAAAAGGAGCAAGGCCACACTGTAACAGTAAATTCTAATCGCTGTACAGCAATGCTACGTAACTCTTTACTGTATAATTTTGAAGCATACCATAGCAGGATCTGCTTTCAACAAGATGGCGCGACGTCACATACCGCCAACGAGTCTTTAGCAGTTTTAAATGAAATGTTTAGTGGAGAACGAATATCTCGATAAGGGGACATTCCGTGGCCTCCCCGGTGCCCAGATCACATGCCACTGGATTTTTTCTCCGGGATACCTCAAGAGCTGCGTTTATGACGACGATTGACCAACTGAAGTACATTTCCGAGGAGATGTCGGCTATCGCATGAGCGATGTGCTAGCGAGCTTTTACGAATTTGTAGTCGAGATTCGAGGAGTGCGTCCCTCTCGATGGCTCACATCTCAATGATGTTATATTAAAAAAATAAAATTCCTATGTATCTACTTTATTAAAAATATAAAATTATTTTCCCTACGCTTTGTAGTTTTTCCTGTGATATTTTAAAATCCGCTCAACTTAATGGCCCAATCTGTATATCAAAACTTCTCATGCATCCTTGGAGTGGAACCTTGATTTATTTGGGTTAAAATGTTAAAAATAACACACGTTTTCTCATATTTTGAAAGGAACAGAGATACCACAAAAGTACCTTTTACAAAAATTGTAGAGAATAACTACTATCTAGGAAAGTTGATCAATTAGTTTCCCTACCCATTTTCAATTTTGAAGTTTGACCAAAAGTTGCCACGGGTTATCGTTTCCCGATTTTTTGAGTTGTTAGAGTCAAGCTGACAAAAATCGAGGGTGGTATGCATATCTCAAAGTAAAGCTTGTAAAATGAAAACGATGGATATGGAAAGTTCTTGCAAACTGTTCATGAAGTTCTAAAGAACTTGCCTAATTTGTCGCTAGTCATTAGAAACAGCAATAAAGCTTAGCTATAAAACGTGATGTATTTCACCGAATTGTTTGAATGCCTTTCAGGTATGCAAATACTTAAGACTACCTTTAAAATATTACGGATGATCCAAAGGAAGTACCAGATGATAGATATTGTGTTAACAGTAGTAATGGTACATGTA